TATGTTACTTCCTTTTTTTAGAAAAAAAGTTGTCACTACCCACTTTTCCTTTTATCCACAAAAATAAGATAGAGTACTTATAAATGAATTACACATGTATAGTTTAATTTGAATAAAAGATTTATATTATTTGTAACTTCCAAAAATATATGTAGCACTACAAATATATTTTTAATAATATATAACAATTATCAGTAATTCTATCTGTACACATTAATATATTCTTATCAAAATAGTATGAGGTAATATATGATAGTAATAATTTAAAAAATATATATGTTAATATATAAGTATCATTATATAAGTATAGATAATGGACTTAAGTCACTTTAAATTTGGGGTAGAACTCCCCAAGTAACATCGTAGGTCTGTTAAAGTTGATTGAACTATTTTGGCTTTTATAGATGTTTTACCTAGTCGTTGATGGGCAGTATAACGATGACAACCACCAAAAGAATAATAATAGTCACCGCCTAAACATAACAGAAATTTTTTTTTTATAACTATCTAATTTCGTTTGCTTTTAGACTGGAAAGTTGGCATAACAATAACAATTCACAAATTTAACAGGTTGTAAAAAATTTTTTATATTGCAGCTATTTTTTATAAATTTGACAAGTCTACCTTCAGTTCCTTTTATCCATAGAACATCAATTGGCGGTACTGTATGCTCGGTATCGATATTTTTCAATGCACTCATTAAACTTTGAACTTTTTCCTCATTTACTTCAGCAAGAAAAGGTCTGATAATTACATTCATTGGAATATCGTGTATTTCTGCGTGCAAGCTCGAATGAATCGAGCTAGTTATTTGACACGCACCTTTACGTAACATTTTGCGCATAACAACTTGATTAATCCCGTAATTATCTCATAAATCTTATCCGTTAATTAGTCGAAATTTCATAAATTTGCATTATCGGTATTATGTATTCGAAAAAGCATCGTCATACTGACCAATGCTGACACATACCGAGTACCGAGCCCAGAATGGAGAGAGAGAGAGAGAGATGGAGAATGGAGATTCAAGCAAACAACACGCACCGCAGGGAGGGGATAACGCACACAAGCGAAAACCGAAAACTGCAAAGATCTGTCAGACATCAAACGTTAGACCTCCGGTACTCCGGTCTCGGGTGGCGAATTAACCGGGGATCTGTCAGATGTCAGAACCCAAATGGAAAACATACTTGGGATCTATCAAAGCCTAAGTGGAAAAGCTACTTATGGTCTGTCAGACCCCAGTGGAAAACTTTCTTGTCGCTAACTGAGCGATAGACCAACGTGCTTGTTATTGCCAGTTATTGCATTACAAGATTGCAGTTTCATTGAATGTTACAAATGCTTCGAATCATCATTGTTAATTAATTAGGACCATAGATTTCTATATAATCGAATTTCGAACACAATTTTAAATGACAGCTTCGAATTCCACCAATCAGGACAAAGAAGTTTTAGCAATTTTTGTTCTAATTAGTCAAATTCCAATCCTCGCAAAAATCTAAAAATATGAAAGAAAAGAAAGAATGGAGATAAATACAAGAAAACAAATATTGGAACAATTAAAACAAGCCAGTCTAGAGAAGGATAAGATGATAAAATGAAACGGAGAAACGATCAAAGTTAAACAAACGGAAAAACAAATCTTCTCCAAAGTCTTTCATATCAGATGGTTTAGATTATATCCTTCAAATTTTTTTTTGTAATTTTAAATATTTCATACATGTTTTATATCACACCTTTAAGAGTATATAATTTTATATATTTTCTGCTTCAGCAAGCCTGCACTTTAGTATATTAAAATTTATTAAGATGTATATATTCCATATATATATTTTATAAGACAAGCATAGGATTTTTATTGTATTGTTGTGTACATGTTTTCTTTAAAAAATGTGTAAAAATTTTTTTATTTGATTATGCCAAAATGCTAGTTTTATTAATTTTTTATGTTTATTATATATCCTTGAATAAACCGTTAGAATATTTCCTTATATATTAAACACATTTACAATATTACATCGTTAAAAAATAATTAACATTTAATTATATAGATTTTTTGAGAATTTTTGTGATTTTGAAAGTATAGGAGTCACCACAGTTGGAAGTGAAAAACAATTATTAGAAATTGGATTGAGCACAGAATTTGAAAAGGATTTGAATATAAGTATTGGTGTTAGATATATATACATATATATTTAATAGATAAATAAAAAAATAACATTGGATTATATAAATTTGCATTTAATCGTTAAGGTAAAAGAAATATATCTTTTTGTTTCACTATATGTGTGTTATTGTATAATGTTATATAATGTAGTGTCACTAAATTACAGAATCTACACATAATCAGCTATTACTGATACTATTAAATTATTTATCATTAGCATCTTATATAAAGAAAGTATTCAGCACTGTATAAAATTAAAAAAATTAATAACAATAAGATATTATATAGCTGTGTGAACACAACTAAGAAAATAGAGACTGTAATTGACAAATATATAATTACCAGAGTATTAACCATATGTTAAGCAGAGTTCTTTTTATTTAATTTTTTACATTGCTTCCATTTAAAAAATTTGCATCACAGAATCAATTTTTGTACCATGTAGACAGAATATTGATGATGTAAAGTTGAATTTGTAAATGCAAGATATTTTGCCTTCCATTTTGTGTTCAGCTTTTGTAAATTTTATGCAAGTCAGGAAGCACATATAACAGCAACTCGGTATGTATATGAAGCAGTTAAAAATTATATTATTTACAAGAGAATTATTTTGTGACATTATACAAATAAATATTTATCAAGTATATCAACTTTATAATAGATTGTACCCGAAAGGTAGGTAAAATGGTATTTTATACAAATATCAGAGTACATATTTTACACTTGTATTGGCATATAAGTTACAATATTTATAAAAGGTATAACATGTGTGCAAGAGAGTTAGCATGTATAAATGAATATATGTTAAATTTATACATAAATATGTGTATGGAAAAAATTAAAAATTTTCTAATTTATTAACTGCTAAATCATGAAAAAATTTTTATCACGCATATACACACAAATTTGCCTATTTTACAATAGTACAATTACAAATGTATCTACATACATACCTAAATATATTTCACGATAGTCGAAGTAGAAGAACTTGCGTGCAATAAATAACAATTTTATTTTATAAATTACGCAGCTAATCTTCATCTGTACCTTTCTGATACACTGCCCCAAATTTGCTCATATACTTACGTACAAAGTCTTTTGCTTTATGTATAACATTTTCATTACATTGTAATTCATCCACGCTTTTACAATGCTTTAATTCTTTTGCAAGTACAAAATGTGTTAACTGTAATAGAATGTACAATGATGAATAATCTCATATCGTAAATTAAATTTATTATGATAGTAAAAATTCAACAACATACCTTTCTAGCTAGATGTTTAAAATCTTCAGTATTAGTAATTCTACCTTGTTTACATTCAGTTTTCCTATATGGATTTAAGAAGTGAACCATCACATTAGCCATACTTGTTCTGAATGCCTCCTTGATTCTTCTTTCAGACTTCATAGGGTACATTTCAGCTGATGTTGATTGCAACTTGCTTAATCCATGACGCGAATGAGATTTCGATTTATTACTTCGTCTATGTTTCTTTAGCTTCTCAACATCTTTTAGTTTTGCCCTTTCTTTCTGCCGTCGTAATTTCTCTTTTATTTCTTTATATGCTTTATGATCAACACGATCCTCTTCTCTACGTGGCTATAATAAATGTAGATTGATTAAAATTGCAAACTATTGAAAGCTTTAGGCTTATATTAGAATTGACAAGTTTAATATATTATGCCATATAAAGTGGAACAAATTCTTTCATTTAAATTTTAACTTTTTTTATAATTTAAAAAGTAGTTTAATTTTGATTTAAAAAAAAAAAAAAATATCAACATTAAATAAATATAAAAAATTTAATGATACTTACACTAATAATTCTTTCTTGGACCAAACCATCTCTTCTCTTTTTACATTCCGGCAACGGCAGTGAACTTCCGATCAATTGACCACCTAATTTTTTAGATACATTTGGCCTAGGTAAAAGGCTTTCTGTTAGAGAGTTACTTGTCTCCATGTCATCATTTCTTTGATCTTCATTATGATCATCATCGATATCTTCGTCATCCTCATTGGATGAACTAGATTCTTCGCTAGATTCCGAAGTAGACGATGAGTCTGGTTGTACTCCGATATGATCGGGTGGTGGAGGTAGCCACTGCGATATTCTTTCCTTTACATGATAATAGTACGTTCTACCTCTGCTATCTGTCGCACTCTTCCATTTTGGTGGTAAATCTATCGGTGAAATTTCAGGTTGTGCCGGTCGATTCGTGCTGACGCTTTCCGCGGATGTATGATTAGAAAATTGTTCATCTGCAGGTTTTTCATGATTATAAAGAGGCGTTTGAATTGATATAGGAGGAGTTCCGCCATGAACAGACACTAAACTATTTGGAAGAGATAGTTGCCCTTCGGAATACGGTTGCGGATGCGATATCAAAGAATAGGAAGATGTTGTTTGACTGAACACAGGAGTTTGACTTAACGAGTAAGCTACTGGAGGAATGCCAGTCGTAATTCCGGACGATATATCGGTTGTCATTGCTGATGATAGTACATGAGGACTCTGGCCTATTATACCAGTAGACTGAGCATTTCCTACATATACAGGAGTACACTGTTGCGTTGCTTCTCCCCCATCTATAAAAAGAATTTCACATTTTCTCTATTAAATGTTTTAAAAAATATATAAATGCTTGTATTTTTTATTACAAAAATTGTTAAAAAGATGAATGTTTCTGTACGGAATATAATAATGAATATGACCTTGAGTAGGATAATGCTGCCATTGGCCTAATGTCGGATTATAAAAAACAGGATAACCAGTTTGAGGATCAACCATGGCAGTAGTGTGGGGATCTATACCCAATGCTAAACATCTGTTCTCATGCTCTTGCCATGATTCTTGCTGTTGACGACGTTGTCTTTCCTCCTCTTCTTTCGCGACTTTCAATGCAAATAATTGTCTACGCTCGTACTTTGTCATTCGTGGTATAGGAACTAGACTACGTTCTTCTATTCTTTTATCTTTTGTTCTATTATGTTCAGCTTCTGGAGATTCTCGTCCTCGTCTTCTGTCACCACGTTTGTCAATTTCACTTCGATTGTATCTATCAGATCTATGCCTAAGAGTTTATGAAATCAATTAATAATATTTTTTAAACTTAATTTATTAACTATTATACATATACACTATTATATATATTGAGCATCATAAAGAAATGTGCATAAGTGCAACAATATAAATTAAATATACAAACACGTACCTATCGTACGATGTGCTTCTCTTTTCTTCTTTCTCCAATTCCTCTCTATATCCTCGATCTGCAACAAAAATCAAAGTAATGTTAAATATACATTAATAAATCTTACTATTTTTTGGTTTTTAATTCTGTTAATATATTATAGAAAATAACCTGCTTCTCTTTCATGCTCCTTCATTTGTTCAATCCTTTCTTTTTTCGGTATTCTGAAAACTTCTTTTAGATTCGACCATTCAGCAAGAAGACTACAAGCCAAATCAGGTATAAGATTCTGATCTGTAGTTTCTGATTTAACTTCGTTAACTGCTAAACAATTTTCGATATTATTATTACGTTTATCTGGAATGTCATTAAGACGTTCATCAGGATTTTTCTTTTCATTGCTATCGAAATTACTATTCAATTCCTCACACGTCGTCTTTGATTTAACCTGATCGTCTTCTGGCGAATCAGCATTTGGAGAAAGATATAATTTTTTCGCCCATCTTTCAACTACACCATATATTTTACCATCCATTAACATTGTCTTGTTTGGTATTGGCAGTGTATTTAGAGTTTTTAGCACTTCTAAACGAAATTGTTGAGCTTCTTCTGATTCATTAGCAGCAATATCCATAACATAACTCCAAATCAAACGTAATCCATGATAATCCAAAAATAATCTTCGGCAGGGTTGTTCGCCGCTTTGTATAAGACGTAACAAGCGTGTCCTGTGTTTTAATTCTCTGCTACGAACCATTAATCTGCTTAATGTCAATGTATGCGCACGATTTTTCAAACCACCTGAGCACAACTTGTCCATTTCTTCCTCCAACTAAAATAAAACAAAAAAAGGACAAAATGAAGAAATTACACTGCTTAGCTATGTATAATACACACATAATATTATTAATTGCAATACTTACATCCTCATCTTCCATATAATCAACAGGTTTCTTTTCTTCTTTCTTCTTCTTTGTATCTCTCTCGCGTTTCTCTTCAATTTTTTCAATCTTGTCCTTTTCTTCTTCAGGTGTATCGCCTATCCAGCCTCGACAATTTGGTGCTTCACAATAACACTTTTGAGCTTCCTTGCTAATATTTAAATATATAATAAAAAAAAGTAAGTAAAAAGAAATATAAACTTATATAATCCATATATGTAGAAAATTAGTTTATAATTATTAATATAAAATTATATCATAAAAAAACATACCCATAACGCTGAAAATGATAATCGAATGTAATTTCTTCACCGGCAGCTATAAATTTTTTATTAAAAAAGCCTATCCGTAATTCACCATTTACTGTCCACTAAAAAATTTATTCAATGTATAATATTTTAAGATATCATTAACTTAGATATCTACAAAAAATTATTTTTATTAGCTTGATTGATTAGCTTGAAAAGATAAAACACAAATTTACTTTTTGCGTTTCTGCATTTGGATCACAACTGTGATTGATAAACCGGGATACATTTCCTTTCATAGTAGCATCTATAATCTGATCGGATTTCAATGCCATAAAATAATAATGTCTATTTTTGTCTTTAGAATAATCCTTTGCGCGACGTTTAAAATCTTTTGGATCTACAACCTCACCAACATACTCCATTATAAATTCGCCCCTGTAATTGTAAACACAATATAAAGATTTCTTTTATTCCAACATTCTCATTCTGTTCCATTCGAGAATATACATTCATATATTTTATTGATTCAAAATTTTACTTACGCCATTATATCAACAATAGCACGTAAACCAAAACCCTTCTTCTCCGTTCGAAATACTTCACATTTGGCATATTCACAATTTTGAAATCTTTTATTTGTACATCTATCACCTACTACACATCTAGTTCCACTGTGATATAAATTCGAAAAAACATTACTATTTACATCTATATAATTTACTTCTATTACTTTTAATATATATAATTGATTTATATATAATATATTCGATTATATATATTACATTCCTCTAAAGAGAAATATTATTTTATTTATTACTATTTTATTATTTTAACATCTTTATCTTTTTTTTTCTTGTCTTATTCTATGTATAAACAGAAATTATAAAACTGAATTCTCTCTCTCTCTTATTACTTTAAAAGTAAAATACTTACCATTCTATCATGAGAAGTCTATTAAGGCAATCCTCTCCACAACCAAGTTCTCCTCTCTCAATTTCTTCTTCAGTTAAAAAACAATCACAAACCATTCTTTTAGTTTCCTTGTTTGTATATCTAGTAACAAATATTATAAATATTTAATATTTTTACAATATATTTCACTTATATATATACAATATATACATTTTACTTATAAATATTTAATATTTTATACACAAATGTATATTATGTGAATATTATTAGAAACAATATTTTCATATGTTTAGCGAAGAACACAATATTAATGTTTTATATAGAGTTCTTAACTCTATTTCTATATACCTTTCAGTAAGATACAAATTTTCACGTAGGTGTTCAAATTGGCTTAGTCTTTCTTCCATTTCTCTATCCTCTGTTTCAACAACCATAGGCAACAAAATTTTAGCTCCTATAGTTTTTGGAATTTGTGGTATTGTTACAATGGTAGAAACACTATTGGATGTCATTGATGCATCTTTAACTTGCTCTGTTTCTGTACAAGGTTTTACATTTTTGCTAATGATATTGTGTTTTGATTCAGATGACGTACTCGATTCCCCTGTGTTTATTGGTGCACAACGTCCTGATTCAGATGGAAGTGCAACAGATGATCCAAATATTGATGTAGGAGCAATGATGGATCCAAAGCCTGCACATGATCCACCCATTTCAAGTTCACTTGATCTTCGCCAACGAGATTTTACTTTAACCGGCTTTGAAGAATCAGAATCATATCCTGTGGTATTATAACTAGCACTTAAAGGTGCTGAAATATCAAGCGACATTGATATCTTGCTAGAATTATTTTCCTTATCACATTGCGTCTCAGAGTTATCTATTTTTACTTCCTGAGTAGTAGAAGGATTTATATTATTAACTATTTTATCTTTTTCTTGCTGAAGAGTTACTTTTGAGATATCTATGTTAGGTTTCGTAACTAAACCACGTCCACGAGATCTAAAAGAATTAATTGATTTTTTCACACATGAAAACTTTCTTAACATAATTAGAAAATTATTTTAGAGAGATATTCATCTCCAAACAAATCATAATTTTAACTTTTTTTTTAAATAATATTTATATTCACTTATATATATATATATATATATATAGCAAGAAAAGCTGATTTTAATACAATAACTAATACGCTAAATAAAATATGCTTTGTTTAAATAAAAGTAATGCTTTAAATACTACAATTATATAAACACAATTGTAAATAAAAAACATTAAAGGAATAGATAGATATATTAGTCTCAAGGTCAGTATTCTTAAATACAGTTTGCCCTGCATTTAAAAAGCTAAATATGCACACAACTAAGATGTTTTTAATATTTGTTCTCTCTTTAAAATTTATTGCTTTCTCTCTGCACCATCTGTGAAGATTAAAAAATTTTATTCATAAGAAATAATATGTGACGTACATGCACATTATAAGAATTCCTGAGAATTATCCGATTGTTGGAGTTAATCATATTGTATTATAATGCAAATATCCTGTCATTAATGGTCATTTTTCCAAAGATAACAAACATTGTATCTCTCTGCGATTATTTGTCCGCTTCGAGTAAACAATAATAATTGCATTTTACACTCACCATATACTTCTAAAATCACGTCCGGCAATTGCAACACGAAATTCATTTCTCAGGCTACTCAATATCTCAGTATCCAAATAAATGCCGTCTCGTAGTTTTCCAATTTACCGACATAATAACTGAAGTACGGGATAGTAATGAACCCGCTAAAAAAAAGGGATCGCTGGGATGGCTACGTGTGAGTGGATCCAGCGAGTCTGCGAATTGTTATCAAGTTTGACGTCCCGATCGGAACACGCTGTACATTGGATAGCTCTTTCTCCTTGATACGGATCTCCCTCGCGTAGCCTGTGAATTGAATCGCTCGGCGTTCGTCACCGTTTGGCACTAAACAAAACTCGTGATAATCTCGTGGCTGATGCGTGCTCTCCTCTGGCTCTGGTGATCTTTATTCGGCGACTGTGTCAAGCGCAACGACAGGAATGACTATTGCGTTAAAAAGCCCAAAGAACCCCGTGAATAAAAACGTATATCATCGCGATGTACAACATTCTCGTGTACACTATCGCCACTGAGTGTATCGCTCGCTTCGGTCTCCTATCTCCTATCTCCTGTATAACTCGCTGTTGCGAATGAAACCAGCGCTATCGACGATGTGTAGTGGAAGTAGCGCAAATCATAGGGTAAGAAAATAACAAGAAGGAATATATAGATGTTATTTTAGAGAAAAGAGTCCACCAATTGAAGAACGAAACAAGGAGTCTGATTGGCTATGCGCCATGTTGTTACTATCTTTAATATATATATATATTGATTTTTTCACACATGAAAACTTTCTTAACATAATTAGAAAATTATTTTAGAGAGATATTCATCTCCAAACAAATCATAATTTTAACTTTTTTTTTAAATAATATTTATATTCACTAATATATAAAAAATATAATTATATAAGAAATATATAGATTAATTATTACATTATTAAGATATTTATTACATTAAAAATAATAAAAAAATTATCTACTATAATTTTAATATTTTAAGATCAAATTATTTGATATCATACCTTTGTTTCATCAATCCAATAGATCGAATTCTACTACTTCTTCTTACGCCTGAACTGTTTGAACCACTTTCAGAACCTGTTGTATCAGTGCTTCCACTACGACCTCTGAATTCAATTTTTTTGTCAATATCACTTGTGTTGCCAGTTGTATTCTTTACATCAAGCTCACGTCCTTTGCAATTGGTAAGCGACAATAATGTATCGTTACTGTTTTCACTACTGCTACATAACTTAATATCTTCGCAATCAACTTTGCTGTTGTCTCCTTCACTATCTTGATATTCATCTATAGTTGTTAAATGTTCAGAATTCTTTTGCTGACTCATATTCTTCTTGTCTTGCGTGCTTTTTGACTTTAATAAAACTCTATCTGTATATTGAGGTTTATCATCACAAGAATTGGGTTTTAATATATTTTGTTCTTGATTTTTAATAATGTTATTAGGTTCCATTGTTTTCGAAAATATGTCTGTTATATGAGAAGTAACAGAATTATTAGAACGATGCAATTGCTCCATTTTATCTAATATTGATGAACTGCTTTCATCATCGATATTTATAGGGGACAATTTTTCCATATTTAATGAAGTTTGTACTGGAGAGTCAATACTTTCCACACTAGAGAGATCATTCACCAATTTCTGTATTTCCTTTGAGCATTCATTTATCTGCATATTAGCCAATTCATTATCTATTTTGCTAAATGTATCTTCTTTTGACAAATCTGCATGCATACTTTTTGCTTTCAAGTCTTTGCTTTCCTGTTTGCAATCAACTTCCTCGTTTGAAATGCCAGAATTCTCTTTGATAGAACACATACGAACTTTATCAGATATTGACTCTGAAATTTCCTTTCTTATTTTATCATAAATAGTTTTATCATTCTTTTGTTTTTTACCATGATCTTCTAATACAATTTTCTTTTTATTGATATAAGATCTATCCATATTGGAATCTACAATATTACAATTTTCACCACTCAAAGTTACTGATTCATCTATATGCACAGCTGATATGGAATTTTCCAATTCGTTATTATGTACACTATTAAAATTTTCTTGAATAATATATTCATTGTTCGAAATATTTTCTGTATTAGATGTTATCACCATGGATTCATCTTCATTTTGTATCACAGTAAATTCCACAAAATTCTTGTCCTCTAAATTAGGTTCGTTAACAAGTAATACTTGTTCAACCACAACATTATCCTGTGCCAAAGCGTAACTATTGTCCGCAACATTTTCTTCCATTTCCATTTCTTCACAGATTATTGTTTCCTCTATGACCCCTTCTGACCACATTTCTACTTCGGTTGGTATCGACGCGGATGTAGGCAAAGACTCATTGCTTGGATTTGGATTACCGACAACGACCTGCCGTACATCTTCTGGACTAAGTTTGTCTGATTCATTAATTATATTATCTATATAATCTTGACTATCACTTTCACCCGCGTCCCGTTTGTATTGAGAAGCATTGTATACAATATCCTCCTTATCTACAATTAGATTGTTACTAGAGGTACTTTTATGTTTACTATGCTTCTTCTGAGAATTTTGATTCTTCTTTGATAAAACTCTACTATGATTTTCGTTGGTAGACTTGGAATTTTCAAAACTGTTTGAGCAAGATGTTTCCAAAATGTTTCCATTAATTTTCTTTTCTTCCAACTGTTTCTTAGCTATTTGTCTGCTAGATTTACGCACAGGTACATATTTATGGGATGATTTTTCAGATGCTTTCACTTCGGTTTTACGTCTACGTGCCATTTTGATTCCATATATATATATATTTATGCAGTCTCAGTCTGAAATAATTAAGATTAGCACAAAATTTATTGTAAATCCGATCTTTATTCAAATCAAATATATCATCAATATATATAGGTTATCATGTATGTATTTATCTCCCTGTAATAGTATTTTTCCTTTATATTATTATTATATATCCTTTACATTATTGTTTATATTTATAGACAAAACAATTTTGCAATATCGAAAATTCGAAACAAGGAGTCTGATTGGCTATGCGCCATGTTGTTACTATCTTTAATATATATATATATATATATATATATATATATCTGCATTTTACTAATGTTATTCTATCAATAGTAGATTTATTTTTATTAATTTGTTATTGTTTTATACGGTAGAAAGAAAGAGAGAGATTAGATTAGGAACGACGGTATGTACAAATAGAGTCCTAGATTATCAGAGAGGCGCCAACTTGTTCCACTTCCTGATTGGTCGATTAAAATAGCCGCCATGTAGAATACAAACGTCACACATACAGCTTGACAGCTGTCAATCAAATGTGGTTGTGTTAATATTAAAAGTTTAAATAAGTGCATATTATAATTTCTTGTTACCACGGTAAGTAGAAATGTCTTATATATGTTATATATGAAGAAATTAAGCTGCACATATTTAAAACATATATGTATAATGTATATATATATATATATATAAAAGCACTACTGACGTTTGTGTCTTAAGATGGCGGCGGTGGGCATGGTGGGGGTAGAGTTGGCGCCTCTGATAATCTAGCACTCTATGTACAGATAGGTGGAAAGTAACAGGCAGCCGGTTGGCAGCCTTTTTCATACGATATGTATATTTCGAGAATCGCAATATGGTCTCGAACCGCGGCCAGTCGGAAAACGCGCCGCGACAGCGGTTCGAATCGCTCCGTGTTTCTCGCAATCGTTATCGTCCAAGAGTGAGTGAATCTCGTGTGTAAAAAATTATCTCTCGCAAAGTGTCAGACGTTCGTCATAACGGATTAAATGCGTACGTTGGGATATTGTCAATAGGATGATGCTAATTCCCGCCATTTATCGTCTTGCTAAAGTACAATGAAAATGCAGTTGATGCACGATCACTATCGATATGTATGTATAAATCATTTTATAATTAATTCTCTGTTGATATTATTTGCATCTGCGTTATTATTATTAAACATATTTTTGAATCGCCGTTCGAATTTTCACAATTTTACATATGTATTTATATGTGTGTTTCAAAATGCAATGTGAATCTTTTACATCTCTTTCATATATCTAAATTCTAAATTAATTAGGATAAAAGGAAAAACGCATAAGAGATAAAATCTTTAAAATCATATCGCGCGCGTGCGCACACGCACACAAAATATTTGTTATATAAAAAAAAAATACAAAATTGGAAATATACATATGTTATAGAAAAAATATATATTTTTCTGTTTCTTAAAAATATTTGTATCTTATAGTTTTTCTCTATTTTACAAATTGTAATTTTCTATAAATCATTAACATTTAAAATTGCTCTTAGTCGTAAATTTTACATATTTCTTGTAACATACAAAATATTTCAATATGCAGAAAATTTCAGGTTTCAAATTATTAAAAAATATACCTTGTCAATCTCAACATAGTAGTCATAATTCACGATTTTCAATTTTATATACAATTAGAACAGATAGAACCAATAAGTATTTCATTTTTATGTATAATTACTTCATAATTAAAATAATATACAATAAAAAGTCAACTTTTTATGAAGAAATTATAAAGATAAAAAAATTGTATTGGCTATAATTAAATGTAATTTCGTTGTTACATTTTTAATGCAACAGACATTCAAAAATTTCATTTATTTGACATCTTATTAGACTTTTAAATTGTTTAGAAATGTATGGTTCTCTTATTTCAAGCTACATTTGTAACAAAAGTGTAAGCACTCTATTCATTATAGTCACATTGTACACATACTGTAGTGTTGTATTTAAGATAAAAATGATTTATGTATTAATATTTGAAAATATGGTTCCTATTTTAAAATTGATCTCCCATAAAAAAAATCCCATCAAATGTAATAATATATATCTCTAAAAATAAGTAACTAATAAAATTATATATATAAAATACTTTATATGTCAGGGATTTTGTTGCTTATCAGATTTAGTTTTTATAAGTGACACATTAGGTACAGTTAAATTATCACTTGGATCTTGAATGCTTTCTGATGTATTTGTAGTAGTAGATCTCTCGCTATTGGAATTTGAATTCTGAAATTTAGGCGTAGAAGTTCTTCCTTTTAAAAGCACAGCTTGCTCAGTGCTTTTACTAGCTTCTTTAATCGATATCGATGACACATCACTGATATCGGGGAGACCACTTGGATCATGCTGTTTCTTAGTAGGAGAAATCATTCTTCTAGCTGTATTTATTGGTGTAACATCCGAATTTGAAGATGAACTAAGAGCACTTGCTTCTCGGGTTTTCTTTAGTGTCGTAACAGCCCAGCCCAAACCTAGTTTTTTCAAAGCAGTTTCCATCTCTTCTGGAGATGAAGCATGTTTCAAAATATCTGATGACGGAGAACTCATTATTTCGGAAATGCCAGACAATCCGGAAAAACTGTATAAGCTAGTGGACGTTGTTTTATGTTTACTATCTTTATGTGGATTATTAAAATCGGTACTTATAGAAGAACCGAGTTTATCTTTTACTTGAGATGTAGGTTCTTCAGTGGTTGTGTTACATTGTAATGGTTTATTACATTTTTCGAGCATACGCTCTCGATTTGCTTCAGTTTTTATTGCTGTACCATCAGCTGTACTTTTTATCTTTTCAGGAGACTTACAGATAGTTGTAGTTTTTTGTGATCTCTGTGCAGGGAGCAGTGTTTCATCAGAACGTTTCACGAGAGAGAGAGAGAGAGAGAGAGAGTAACCATAAAAAGTTCAGTTTTTGAAGGTACCAAATATATTCTTTTCTTCTTCATATATATATAAACCAAATATATTAATAATTTAAGTATTGCTCTATCATGTTTGGATTAAAATTAAAAAAAATGATTCATGAAGTAATTAATTTAAAACAAAAATATAATTAGAACATTTGCATTAAACAGAATTATTAGATTTATTTTACCTGTATGGTCCATTTAACAATGTAATAGGTGGTTTGGGTCTTGTACTTATTGATGTCACAATTCCGTGATTACGCGGTATTTTGGGAATACCAGCTAATATGGGAATGAAATCATTTTCTTTTGTTACCTAAAAAAATATCCACAGTATAAAGTAATATTTATATATCAAAATCGTTTACTTGTGAATAATATTAATTAATATTCTAATATGTTTTCAGATTATTTCTTTTAACATCCAATATGTATTAAATATATGTGAACACATGTAATTATGATAAGCTACTATAAATAATCTTCATATATTTAAATGTCTTTTTTTTTATATTTGTGTTCTCAAGTAAATAAATTTCTACATTTATATTTTTAAATATGTAGCATATACACAAATAAAAAAGTGTCTCATTTACCTCTTGAGTAGAAGTAACTTCTTTTATAATACTATTGTTTTTTTCATGTTCTAATGACATGTTATTTTTAAGACTAATATTCTTAGAAGACGGCATTTTATGTTGCATAAAGATTTCATCAACCTTTTTTGAGGCGATGCTTGTCTTGTCCATATTCTTACTTTGTTCCAAAATTTCTTTCGACAATTTCTCAATTACCTCTTCTTCGTGAAGAGAAAATGTACATGGAGGCCAAGAGTTACGATCTGACGTTTTTGTTGTCGACGTTGCTTGAGGTCTTTGCTGCATTTTAAATCGATTAAGTTGTATATTAACTCTCTCATTGCTTATAATCTTTGGCTTAGCTTTGCTTTCTACTATTTCGGATTTCTGTATACATGCTTTAACTGTATCTATTGATTTACTTCTGGGAGTAGAAGTGACTGCTTGGATTCCCATTTCACATGAAGGTTCATCTCTTGGAATTGCTTCGCTGCCTATAATTCTTTGTGATTCAAGGAGAGTTTTTGCAAGTTGGGCATGAATTGCTTCTATACTCTCAATCAGTCTCTGCACTGCTTGCGCATCTTCGCGTGCCAGTCTTGATGTTGGTAGTTGCATTAAGCTAGTTTCATCGCTTGGACTGATTAGTGAAAGATCCATACCTGCGATATATATATGTAATATTATTTCAAATTACAATATTCCAAAATAAATATGCCAAAACAATATTCTATTAATACATTCAATGTAATACATGATTCAATATGTTATTCAATTAGATAGTAGCAGTTAATTATTTAAAGTAATTCATTGTATTCATTGTACCCGCAACAATATAAAAATGTTATATTGCAGATAATTAAAACTGGATTGTATGTTTAATGAAACTAATTTGTTTAATACTTTACCTTTCTGTTCATTTCGTACTTTTTCAATGAGATCAGTTAAAGATGCTATTCTTTCTGTGCACAAGTTTTGTAAGTCTTCATATTTTTGTAATATTTCAGGACAATTCTTCAGCGCATAATCGTGAATATCGTCGAGTTTCGTATGTAACAGTTTACATTCGGGATTTTTGCATATACAGACTTTGGGTGATATTGACGGTTGTTGTATAGGAGTAACTAAGTGTTCCGATGCTACCGATTTCCGCTGACAAGCATCCGATGGATCTGTTAATGTAGATTGATCGTTTTGTATCGATGAAATTATAGTACTATCATTGGTTTGTGAATCATTCGTATTGTATCTAAGCATTCTGCTGATTCTATCGCGATGTGGAATGTTCGACGGCATCATCATTGTACGCGGCGAAGGAGTTTCCGGTGTAGAGACTGGACTGACTTCTTGTCGTAATCTTCTCAATTCTTCGGGTCTTGGAGTATCTAACATCTCCAAGATCGGTGTAACATTAGTCAAAGCATCAAACATCGATTTAGGCTTTAACGGTGGTGGACTTGCGAACGATGTCGATGTATCGGAAGTATCCTTTATTCGAATCCATCTTTTCATTTGCGTGCGAATTCGATATGGTTTACCCGAAGTTTGTTCTTGATCGTTCACCCCTGAAAACGTTTGCGAGCTTTCCGCACTGGCGTCTATCGATACTTTCGTTTCCTGCGACGGGTCTGTGTCATCGGTGAATGCAGACTTACTCACATGTATGTCGACTCTTCTACTGGCTGTATCCACCTGTGTATCTGAACATTTCGTCTTCTTTTGAGGACTAGTCAGACGAGTGCCTAACTGAGATCTCGAGAACCTCTTCATAGGTGATGTCGCTTTAGAACTAACGGACGTTGAGCGAATCTTCTGATAAACTCGAGGCGATAGTCGCTTCGATATTAGTACGCTGCTTTTTCTTCTTTTAGGTGTTACAACCACTTCTTTCTTGTCGATTTCAATGACCATCCCACTAATTTCAGAACTTGTTGAATCATTACTACTATCATCTGTCTCTGGCGTAATGATAGTAATTTTTGGTTCAATCGGATGAGGTATACGTGCAGGTGCGTCTCTGCTGGAAAGCGGTATATATGTGTCTTTTTGAGGCAATTCCACTTGTACACTTTTATTCTCTGCTGGACCAGTTTTGTCTAGCTCTGCCTGTACAGCAATCTCAATCTTTTTTGTAGGCGATTTATTCGGCTTTCTCACCTTATGATATTTCCTTACACATTTATCGCTATTAGACATATTTATAACTTTAATTTCAGGTGACAAAGGCTTGGCAGCTTTCGATGTTTTTGCCTGCGTTTTATCTTCAAAAACCGGCTTTATACTGATATTAAATATATCATCTGGCAAACTTGCACCAAATTCCTGTAATAATAATCTTTTTTGTCTTTCGACCTTTTTCAGCATATCCAATATTTGTTCTTCCCGCGACATTTCGCTATCTTTATCCGGTTGTGTATGACAAACATCTGTTTCCTCATCAACGAGATGAGGTTCTTGCCATGTGGAATGCGGTACAGCATTATCTTTCTTTTGCATTGGTAAAGTGATTATTCTTTCCGTGAGATGAGGATATTGAACTGATGCACTATCTGTACCAAAAATTTGTTTACCTGCGCGATTCAATTTCTTTTGATGTTCCTCTTGACATTTATTTCTCTGATGTAATCGTGTTTGCGTACTTTCTTCAGCAGACTGAATTTGACTAGCTTTTAATCTGCGCTCTTCTTGTGCAAGATGATCTAGATTCTGCATGAATGCCTGGAAATCTTTCTGTACTTTTTCTCGCAAAATCGCATCTTCACCGCGACGTTGGGCACTTAATTTACGGCTTTCGGATATGTATGTTTTTACATTCTCTGCATCTTTTATCGCTTGTGCTGCTTCTATTGCATTTGGCTCATTTCCAATATCGATTCTTTCAACTATACCAGGAGGTCTCCTGTAGACATTTCTTTGATGCATATTGTGATCATATAATTGCACTTTACTCTCTGTTGAAGAAGATGTCTTTGGAGTTTTGTTACATGTGATTTGTTCTGTGACTTCAGAAAAATATGACGAATCATCGCTAGTTGAGTTGGAACTACTGCTGCTGATACTGCTTGTATTATCTGACATATTCTGTGTATAATCTTCTGGATTGTATCTTGCTACTTTTTCAGCCTCAGTTTGTGTAGTGCTTATAATTGGCACTGTTCTTCGTGGTAGTTGATCATCACTTATATCATCAGCAATATATTCAATGTAATCAACTTTGTCTTCTTTTTTTTTTGATGGTGATTTATGAGATTGTATGACACATTGCCTTTGTAATCCCGAAGGACCTGGTTTCAGTGATGATGTTATCTGTTCTTTTGAATTAGATTTCTTCGCTCTTCTGGGTGACTTTCTTGGGAGCACCTTTTTATTTTTTCTCTTTGGAGTTAACGTTTTGTGAACAATTTCTTCATTTGTATCTTCTTGGGAAGAATTTGTGTCTGTCCTTTTATGTTCTTCAGGTGATGTCGACTTTGGAAGTTTAGCTATCATTGCAGCCCTTGCATTTTCTACTTCTCGCACTTTACGTAATCTTTCTTGATAAGCTGCTTCTACGCTATCTTTCTGTTTCGCTTCTTTCATACGTTCTATAGCATCCTTTCCTCTTTTTAAGGTCATAGCTCTATCTTTCCTTTCTTCTTCTTCTATTATTATGTTCACATCTGGTTGCAAAGCAGCAAGGGCATGAGCCTGACCAATATCTTCCAGATCTTCCTCATATTTCTGTTGTAAATCCATAATCTTTCTATCATGCATCTGTTCGAGTTCTGATCTCCTATCTTTTTCCAACCCCTTCTTTATCTTTTTAGTACGTTCCATAATTCGGTTTGACATTTCCTTTGACTGTTGCCGGACCTGTAATAATAATTCAACGTGTCATTTTACAATTTTACATCATTTGACTAATATTTATACTGTCAAGCGCGCGATATAACTGACTACAACTATTGCATAGAAAATCCGATTCAATTTTATAGATTTCAAGAAATTTGTAGCAAATTACAGATTCATACCTTATTTACATTTTCGAACTGGAGTAAATTAATAAATTTCGATCAAACGTGTAGTATACCTGCTCCAGGCGTAACCTCCGCCGACGATCACGTTCATTCTTCTTGATTTGATCTAGGTCCGACAGTACCATTCTTCCACGACATATATTTACAGGATTCCCGCTCACAGTAACGTGTATTGACATGTTTCATAGAAGGAGCGTTAAACATATACGAGCTTTTATTAATCTTTAGCTTTGTATATAGCAGTATATAGTTCAACTCAAATTTAAAATGACAGGAACGGCAGGAACGGCCATTCTGGTTGTTGACTTAGTGCCGGCAATTCAAAAACAACAAATATTCCTAGGCAATTCAAAGTGTAATTTTTTATTTTGACACTACCAGCGGCATAACTATTTCGCACAAAAATAGCTATATTAATAGAGAAATCGACGAAAATCCCTATGAGACAAACGTAACCATAAAATACTTGCGATGCAAGAGATATTGGTCGCGTTCAGCAGAGAAAACCGCTTAGTAGCAATCGAATGTGATTGGTTCTTACTTTTAGAACCAACGAATCAACGTCAAGTGTTGACAAGACGATAACTGAGCGCTTTCTCTGCTGAACGCGGCCATTGAAAAGGTAGTATACTGTACGATCAACGGAACTTTTGAATAGTCAGCGTAGTTGACGAAAGGTACGATTGATGGTATCGCGATTTCCAGATGTGTGTATTATGCTAACAGGAAGAGAGACCCGTCTCTACACCAGTCTACATAAATTCTTTTCGATTTCACCATTACTTTACACCGACATAAAAGAATTATATATATTCACACGTTTTTTTTTTTTTTTGGATAGATAGCAATTTAATCAAATTTGTAGTGTCTCGACTTCGAAGGTAATATCAGCATATGTGGAAAATATGATTTAAGTGTGTGTGATCGTGCAGAGTCACAGAAAATAAATCTTATAAAAATGACGTGGTGAAGATACGCTTATCGTTTGATGAAAGTGTTGAAGGAATTATAAGGTAAACGTATTTTCGGCATACACGAATTATTTTACCGTGGTATTGATCCAAGATTTTATTGTAATAACATATAGCAAGAGATATCTCGGAGATATATATCTAAAGTTTCATTATATCTTTGGTAGTATCATGTAAAACTTGCTTCCTGTAATTCGATATCGTTCTCGGTATCGAAGTTGTGCAATGCGAAAACATTGCCATTAAAAACGGAAAATTTTCAATCGTCGGGGCTGAGTTTTTATTCAGATTAATATTTTCATTATTATAAATCTAAATTTAATCTTATTTTATGAATTAGTAGAATTTATTATTGTAATTTTGAATCCATTGTAGAAATAGAATGGAGGAAAGTACAAGTTCGCAAAATGTTTGGCATAAAGGTAAGCCTGAGGAACAAAATGAGCTGTTTCAAGGAGAATCCACAACTGCGTCTATAGAAGCTAATTCTACATCATTAGCTGATATATTTGATACAGCATTTACATCAACAGTTGATCCATCTCCGCAATCTCGATTCCCTTCTGGTATATATGAGAAAATTTTAATCAATATTTGTGCATATAAAATATATTTTAATAATATAACATGCATATATAATATAAAATTACAATATAAGATAAATCAAATATATCTTATTTGTAGGTAATGAAATGGAGTATGAGCATTTATTTGCAGATAGTGATATTGAGGAATCAGATGTAGCAGCTATAGATCCTTATACAAATTCAACTCATCCTACTACTTCCGAGAATAATTTTGTTTATGGGAATTTTTTAACACCACCAGATACAACTAGTGATTCACAGGAATATTGGCAATCTAATCTCTTAAATTGTAATATGTGCCAAAATAGACAAGATAGAAATTCTAAGAAAGAGCCACCAACTCGACAGTTGAATAATTCTTGCGAGGAGAGATTATGTAATAATTATAGGACAAAAAGAATTTTACACGATCGTGATTTGGCAATCAAACATAAAACTAAAAGAAACGAAGAGCAAAAGTTATTGAGTGGTCAACAACCAGATAATTTGAGTATAGCTGGACCATCTAGATTATCAGAACATCCTATTTCAAACAAGTATTTATAGTTTATTAACATATTTATGTATACAGTTGTTTTTCTTTTATAAGATACTATTATAAATAATATATAATAAATAATACATAATATATAATACATAATACATAAATAAAACATAAATGTTATTTTATTTACAGTATAACGAGATCAACAACAAATATAGATCCTATAAGTATGTTAGAAAATGTGGGAGATCATAATTTGAGTCTGGCTATTAGCTTACATCGTTCAGCATATAATTCAAATGTGTTAACTCATCAAGAAGTGAAATCGGTGCATACACCTCGTATGTTTATAGCTTTTATAATATACTAAACATACTTAATTAGTTATTCTTATAAATAGTTAATTTTTAAATTTTAATAGAAAACGATGACACGCCATCAGCACCAGATTTGCAACTAGATTGGTCCTCTAGTAGCGATAGTGATGATGAGGACAGTTCAGTTGAAGTACTTGGTACTGTTAATCATAATGTCAAGGTATGTATACATAAATAATGTAATACATAAATAAATTTTAATTATATAAATAAATTTTAATTATATAAAATCTCTTTNNTTCTATGTAAATTATAAAAACTTTATTAAAAAAAATATATTTCTTATATTGTTATAGAATTCGTTAGAAAATGCGAGTGAAGATAATCATACAGTTACTGTAGTTGACTTAACTGTAGAATCTGATGAAGAACACACGCCGTCTACATCGACAAATCCTGTAGTTAGTCCGTGGTCGGCAGATTATAATCATAGGTAAATTATATTGTGTGTGCATTTTTAAATATAATTTTTTTTTTGTAAATTGATTGTTATATAATTAGTATGACATATGATATAAAATCTTTTTTTTTTAGAAGTAATCCGCACTGTATGCGTGGATTCACAGGCATGGATTATTGGAATCATTTAACACATCATAACATGCATAATAGAGGCACATATCACAATCACAGAATGCCTGCTCATTCACGTTATGGATCTGTAGGAGGTAAGAGAATTCTTTTTATAAATGTTTATCATTTATCAATAATAAACTTATTTATCAGTTATATATATATATATATATATAAGAATTAAAAATATGAAGATTTTATTATTATTTCATTTAGATGCATCTGCGAATGTAACAAGACCACGCATGCACCCACTTCAAGAAAGATTGTGGGTAAATCAACAACGCATGCAAGAAGTACATAGACGAAGGCTTTATCACAGATTTTCGTCGCATCACGTCGGGTTAGTATTAATGTTACTGTATTATATTTTATCTGATAAAAAATATTTATTCATAAATTATACTTTTAGTAATGCGGGACCATGTAATTCTCATATACATTCATCGACGTATGTTGCTCGAAGAAGTGGCGAAAACAACAGTCCTTCGAGTGCTCGATGTAACAATGAAACAGATAACGCAGCATATACAGAAAATTATCTTCCACCTATTTTACCGCCCCCGCAACAACCTACTGTTTATAGCCATCCTGAGGCTCGAGGGCCACCTAATTTCTATAGAGGATCATGCCCTGTGCTACCTATAATCGTAATTTGATTTTTGTTAGAATATAACACCTCCTAATATCATATCTTGTAATTTGCATTTTATGTTACTCACAGGTAAATCCGTTAAATGGCGTGGAAGAAATGGAGCAGACCCCTCCAGTGATGTTGCCCTCAATGCCGGTACATCAACATGTACATCATCATATGTATCACTATGATCCGCATCAACGGCCGTCTCAACGTATGCATCACGTTCACATTAGTTTCCATCCTCATATGGTATGTTTTTTTTTAATTATAAAGTACACACATTGTGCGTGATTCTAGATATTGCGTTCAATCATTCATTCATCTTGTTTTACATACACATACAGCAAGGATCTGGAACACATGATATGATACCATATCCACCGTTTGGTCTATCGGATTTTGTATTGCAAGGAGCGCGTCACATGTCCGCTCGATTGGACAATTATATGCGCATTGTTGATTTACGACGTATGGGTCATATAAGTTGTGGGGCTACACAAGAATCTATTGAAAGCAACACATTCCCACATAAATACAAACGGGTAAGGATAGATATTTATAGCGAAAACTTTTAATATTATTTCACATGTATTTTATTTATATTACATGTATAACAGCAACATATTATATAATGTCATAATATGTTACATAAACATATTCGTTTATAGGTAAAAAAAGTTGAAAATGGAGAAGATGCTATCGAGAAGTGTACAATATGTTTATCTGAATTTGAAGATTGTGAAAGTGTCAGGTAAAATTTAGTTTCAAAATTTTTATATAGCTTTAATATAATTTTTCATAAATTGTAAATTTTGTTTTGTTTTGTAGGAGGCTTCCATGTATGCATTTATTTCATATCGATTGCGTTGATCGATGGTTATGCACCAATAAACGTTGTCCTATATGTCGAGTGGATATTGAAACTTTTCTCCATAAGGAGTTCACTACTTCGACATAGTTTGAGGTTTTTCATATCTGCCTCTTTTTAAAATGTAATTAGATATAATTCATATATTTCTAAATATTTCTAATATACATTATATATATATATATATATAATATGTATGTATGTATACATGATATTAAATATTTCTCAAGATGGTCCATCCAGGAGAAATTGTGTTGGGTTACCACTATTACAATGGATTAATGATGTAAAAATGTAATGGATAATCAAAATAATTACGAAATATGAGCAGAGTTCCTCAAGAAGACAAGACGAGTTGTCGATGTTCAATTTTAATACATCTCTGACTGCGGTTGGTTTTATGCATAATGATAATAATGATAAATATATTGAAGACTAAATTTGTTTACACATATTAATGATTAATCAATATCTAATTTTTATCTTTGTTTATATATGTATACGATGTAAAAAAATCTATGCTATAAGAAATTTAAAATAACTCTCTTATATGACTTTACAAAAATATTATATATCTTTGAGTATAGAACATAGTTAAAAGAATATACACAAAGATATATAGTTTGGCAACTCAATTTGACTCTATATCGACATAGTACTTCTGGTATACAATACATATTATATAAATTATATGCATTCAGTGTACTTCAATTTATGAGACTAATGAAATTTCTATTGTAAATATTTTATTGATATCATGTAAATTTTTGTAATGCTTGGATTAAATTTGTGATCTTGACAAAATTCTATTACATGTCATATAATAGTATTACATGTCATATTACTAATAATAATTTAAAGCATAGCTGTTTTTTTCTTTTTCTTTCTTTTTCTTTTTTAATTATGTCTTTTTATATACTGATTTGTACCTCTAATATTAACACCCTGATTTTTTATCGTAGATATTATATAATATTAACATAGATCTGAATATTGGAAAGTTATTATTTACAATTGTTGAAATTTACTATCAATTATTCCTTATGTGAGAAAGAATATCATTAGTGCATTATTCAAATTATATTTGTGATATTTTTTTTGATTTAATATTATTCAAACTAAATTGGAACACAGCGCGCTATTTGAAATAATGCCAAAAATAATATATGATACGTTTATATTTAAAAGAAATAATTATTTTCATATTAAATTTCTTTCATTACTATCATCAATGCTAAGCCAAAGACAGCCTAAGTTATAAATATAAACGAATATATCTACAGAATGATTAAGCAATTTTGAATTAAAGATAATCGCCATTGTATGTATGAAATTTGCAGAGAAAAAATCACTTGTTTGTCAGGCCTTATATATATTGTCACTCTTGTATATATGTTATGTTACATAATAGAATCCAATATATTGTTCTCTAGTTATAATAATCCTAAATAATTATAGTAAAAGCAACACTTTTATCACATTGGAATATCTTCAATATTCAAGTTGATACTGCGACATAAATAATTTTATTTTGTCAATGTTTGATATAAAATGTAATATATAAGATAACATGAAAAGGTACATCATAAGATAAATATGTCATAAGATTTTCTGTTACTAGTTTGATATTAAAGAATGAATTGAAAAAGAAAAAGAGAAGTATTATATATTATTAAAGATTATTGTAAAAGATCTGAAAGAGATTTATAAAGATCTACACATACACATACATACATTTCTGCTAAATTATAAATTTTATTTTTTCCGATTAATATTATAAAATCTCACATATATGTAATTTGTTTCATTACTGATGAATGATTGTCATCATGAAAATATTTTTACACTGCCATATACCAAAATTATTTATCAAAATTCATTTATTAAGCTTATTAAGTGTAATCTTTTACGACCATTGTATTTTATACAACACAAATTTTAGCAATTGTTTAATTGAATATATTAATTTAACTGTTCATATATATAGTTCATACATAATTAAAATTTCGTAGATGATGTGCGTATAATGCGTATAATACGGTCTATTTCAAGGATCGTAAACAAAAAAGATATATTTGCCATATACAAGTAGTTGACGACTTCTTATTTTACAAAATAAGAGCACAAGTGGACACGCACACACACACACACACACATTTATATTAATTATAATTGCAGGATATGTAAATCAGAAAAAAAACAATAATTTTATATACTTTCATATAAATAATAAAAGAGAATTTATACTGTATATAATAAATTAAAATAATAATGCAAAATTGTATTGACTTACTGTTGCAACACTATATAGATGAAAATGTTATGCAAAATACATGATTCTTTGAAAAAGGTATTATCATGTTTTAAAACTCTTAAAATTATTTGATTCGCTACACTCGCACATCCGATCATGTATCCGATATTACTGATTGTGAACATGATTAAAAAATTCACTCGTGATACACAAAAAATGTCCTTGTGAGTAAAATGCACGCTTGCACTATCGAATACAAAAGATACAAAATTGATTGCTGTTTATTATCGGTAAATCACCGCGTACGCGGAACTATGTAGCCTCGCACGCTTTGTAATTATAAAAGATACGCAAAATTATTAAAACATCATTATGTATCGTGTATGAGCAACATAAACGATAACTCAAGGCCACCTTTCTTTCTGATGCGTAAAACCCCAGAAATTTAAAACAGATCTGAGAGAGAGAGAGAGAAAGAGAGAGAGATTGTCCAAAGTAGCATTTAGAAAGCGAGATAAAATTATAAAAAAGATCTCGATAGCCGTATTATATATACGATTTTCCCCGATGACTCATATCGGGAATCTGGAAACATGAGACTTTTACGAATATTTCAGGACCGATTTTTTTCATAAAGAGAATAAAGTTCTTGATTGTGTGTGCACATTTGTATAGCAATATAGTTTGATTATATCTATCATATACATATAGTTATATGTATAATAAATAAATATAATAACGAACAGAGAAGCAATCAACCAATAGTCGCGTATGCTAGACTGGGATTTAATTGTATGCGTGTAAATACAAAAAATTTTTCCATGTATATTCATGTATATATGTAGGATATATGAAAATTGCTGAAATATATCTTTGCATGCTAAATATATAAATAAATGTCGATTGTTACAATATGAAACAAGTAAAATGATATGCTTTTCTGCTTAAAATTATATGTGTAATGGAGAATATTACATTTAAGTATAATTATGTCATACTTTTTTAAAATATCAATAACATAAAATGTACTGAATTATTTGCTACAGTTTCTTTTGCGCTATAAGCAACAAAACATATATTTACATTTTAAAAATTATCAACTGATTTTATACATTTAAAAATGCTGTGACATATATGTACAGCAAAATGATGTGAAATTAAAATTCAGCTGCTTTTTTAAAAACATTTGAAACTGATTCTTTCTTATCAAAAAATTAATGGAAAGTCGTAATTTGTTGATATAACTTATAATTTTTATAACAAAATATTTTTTTTATATATATATAAATGATGAATTATTAATACAAGTTTAGTTTCAATTTATACACACAAATGTGTGTATAACTGTGTAAAGCAGAAAAGCGATATATCATTTTGCTTGTTTCATATTGTAACAATCGGCATTTATATACATATATTTAGCATGCGAAGATATATTTCAGCAATTCTTATATATCTCACATATATACATAAATATACATTGAAGAATCTTTCATATTTACACGCATACAATTAAATCCCAGTCTAGCATATGACTATTGGTTGATTGCTTCTCTGTCCGTTATAAAGAGAATGCGGCAGAGGAGAGCAATTCAGTAATCCTCGTGCGGTGTTCATCGACAATTCCCGCTGTTCTCGTTGATCTATCAACCGCCAGTGTCTTTATTTCTGTGCAAAAGGATCTCGATCGTGTGCAACATATTAATTAATTAGTAAGTAACAATTAAAGCAGATTGAATTAATGTCCGTTTTGAGAAAAAAATTGAAACCGATATAATTTCCGATGTAAATAAAATTTTTAATAATATACAATTCACACACACATACAATAATTTTTTATTAATAGTTTTTATATCAATTATCAGTTTCGTTTCTATTGTCATAAGTATATGAAAATTATTTTTGCGCTTCTGTAGCCAATAAAATCTAAAGGAATTGATTATATCATATCAATTTTAATCTCTTTCTCTCTCTTTGTCATTTTGTCTTTCAGCTTTAACCTCATGATAACAATGTTATGTTAAATTATGTATTAGAAGTTGATGTGCGTATCAAGTTATCAAATAAAAATTGCATTATATAATTTCGAAAATTGCTGATGTCTATTTAACGCGCGAAAAAAATTATGTTTTGTTAAACATTATATGTTGATAAACGTTACCGCTTCTGGTCGATTTGTATGATAATTATACTTGACTGCAGTTGGCTTGAATTTCTAAATTATACACATATTGTCACAATAATTACATGCATCAATATCATAATTAAGGCAACAGATGTGTGTCCGTATTGTATTACAATACTTCGATATATATATTAGCATCTTATTATTAGACACTTCTCATAAAGATATATATACTATCGGTAAACATGATAAGAAAGAAAACAAAATTCTTAATATTGTTCTAAACAAGATAACATGAACGTTATGATATTTAATAATTAAATAAAAAGTATTTTTATTGTCTTTCGATTTCGTACACAGTAAATATATCTATCTGTTTTCATAATTTTCCAATTGTCGATTTTTTTATGAATTTGGGATATAGCCTTTTTTTAGCAAAATTTTAAAAATGGAATTTAGTATTTATTAAATTGCGATTTATCAATATTTATTAAACTTTGAATAAGAATATTTATTGTATCAGTATACATGTTATATATACTAATTAATATACATAGATATTATAAGATTTTGCATCAGTATACATGTTATAAATTGTCTTTTAAATTTAACAAGGAAATGTAATTTTTTATTTTGAGACCATAATTAAATTATTGACTTATCTTCTCACAGTAATTTTTCTGGGAAATTTTAATAATTTGTCAATATTGTAACTTTTTCAATGTGCGTATCTTCGGGTTGATGTTATTAGTATGATGCTATTTTTATTTAATTCGGAGTGATTTTATTTTTCTCAATGTCAGATATAACTTGTAATTAACTTTGACCATGAAATGAATCGCAGGGGAATCCGCTAACAATGTTGTCACGCTAGGTTGCAAATGTCTAATATAAATCATCCATTATGTTTGGTTCGCATTCATTCAATGTCGGGGGTACCCAGGCAGAACTTATTTTCACGCCGAGTAAAAACCTAATAGCGCTGTAGAAGCATCGAAATCTCCGAGCACGTGCTACGCCCTGGTACATCGAATTTCTTTGCAATGTTTTTATTTAACAGTCCTCGTCACACGCGTATCTTTTCTCTCTTAAACCTCAAGCAATGCATCTCGTTTTTTCAGTTTTGCTAATGTGTAATCTAAGGCCCATTCTACATTTCTTAACAATCCAATTATTAAAACTATTTTGGGGACACAAAAAATTTATTTATAAATTGATTTACTTAAATATTGACAATGAGATAATATAATGTATGTGAATTTTTAGGATAGACGCGCGTGATTTAAGATGTGGTCTTCCGTCATCGCATTCATCAGTTTGCTATGTATATTAATACCATCAACGCAGTCTCAAGGTATGTGCTTTTTATTACCATTTCGAGTAATATATGTGTCTACAGATTCCATTACAATCTCGTCACAAACGTCGGTCAGATTTTACTTGCAAACTACTAATATCATTTTCTTATAATAGCGAACTAATATTTCGAACGAAAGAAATCCGGTATATCCACATGTCTAGACACAAAAGATTATCTAATTCTATGTAAATACATATTGCTGTCATTATTCTCGAATGCGTCTTCCGTCTTGCGTAATTATTACTTTATCCATAATGACTTAATGGCTTAACAATTTTCATTTCTATATACTGTAAGATTTATTATAAGATGTTTATAAAAGTTATATCTAAATGATATATTATATCGTGATTTATGATAATTAAATCAATATGTTTTTGTATATTAAAAACTATATCTTTTAATAATTTAACGCGTGCTAAGTTTGGTATACTTTTCTCACAAATTTCTGAAGTTTAATTAATCTTTATAGGTATACATAATATCATATATATATAAAGTTTATAAACTTTTTACATTATATTATTACACAGATTACCGAGAAATTACAGTAGTAGGTATTGACATAGAATTATCCGAACACGGCCAAGGCAAGATTCTTTAAATCGAAAGAACGAGAGTCTCCTGTAATATAGCATGACCATCGATGAAGGTCGGCTGGAGGCCGATTTGTTGCAACATTTTACATTTTCTTTTCAATGATACGATGTTTCTGAGAAAAATATCGTCACAAGTTAAAAGAATCATACAATCTGTCAGATTCGTGATTGAAATTAATATGATGTAAAGTGCACTTTGAGATAAATACTGAAAGTTTCAACGAGAAATTATTAGTATCACAATAATTGAGAATATATGTTTAGGATGGGCATTTTCTTATAACATTTTTTTAAATTAAATAAGAATAATCGGTGTGAAACATAATAGAAAAATTAATGGCTAATTATACAATTATCACAATTCTATTTTCATATTAATTAATTATTATAATCACATGTAGTATAATTGAATCAGCAGAGAATTTATCGGATGTGGTCGCGGTTATTGATCTATAGAGTAATCATTATGAATGGAAATAAGTTGTTACGATTTATTAGATAGACTGCTTTAGTTCGTGCTGTAAATAGTGATATAATTACTTAAAGATACAATTGACAGAAAGGGTTTGTACAATTATGCATTATACTAGCTTAATGCAATATATAAATTTAAGAAATTCTATAATAAATATTGCAAATTAAAGAAGTCTTAAATAAAGGATAAAAAGTTAGAAATTACATAATCAATGAAACAAATAAAAAAACATGACTAAATGTAATATACAATAAATGTAATATATGTATGTGTTACATATTAATATATTATAGAAACATTTTGAAATCAATTAATTTAAAAGGAAAATTTTTTTATAAATATACATATAATATTTTGCTATAAAATAAGGAAAGATATAAGTTTTAACCTTATGCGGCATAAATATCTGACAATGAATAGCTGAACGCATCTATAGAATTGACCTTGTTTCATAGATATATTTCACTGTACAATATAAACCATGATGATATACTTACCGGAATACTTTAAATTTATAGTCATGAGATTTTAAAAGACAGTACTTAGCGATGCAACATTAACAACATTAGCAAACATATTATTCACTTTTTTTCACAGAAAATGCATTTACATACTATAACTAGTATTTAGATATAATCAGACATACATAAATCTTTATCGTATGTACATAAATGTTCAATGCTTAAAACTATATGTATACAATCTTTCATGCTAAATCATATTTCTACAATTATGTACTACTACCCTATAATTCCTATATTGGTTAATCAGAGATTTTTGAAGAATTGATCATTATAACTGAATAACGAAATGTTTACGGGACATTATAATTAATCTAATTTTTATACAATGTATGTAAAAAATATATATGTATATCATATATCTAAAAGTAATACTATGTCAACGTATAAGAAGTCATTTACGAGACATATGGAATTTTATTTACAGTTTTATGTATCGTGTAATACAGAAAACATTTGAAGAAGTGTAATATGCACACATACAAAAAATACGTATTAGAATATATACACGTATATATACATTAGAATATATAGCATATAAAATTATAAATAGAATCCTATCTTAAGTCTTTTATCACGAATTATAGATCGTCTAAAGCGGATTTTATAAAAACGTTAGTCTTTTAGAATTATACTGATGTGCATATAAATAAAAAATCATATTGACCTTTTTTGAAGGAATTCACTAAATATAGTATTAACTTCGTTAAATTTAAGCTTTGACGTTATAGGTTCATGCCAGAATCCGCAAGGACAACCCGGCATATGCATAAATATCAAAAATTGTGCAGTGTTGCTCAACCTTTTGCAATCAAATTCTCAAGATCCAGCGGTAGTAAATTTCCTCCGTTCTTCGGTTTGCGGATTCGAGGGTAGAGACCCTCGAGTTTGCTGTCCTAACAACATCAATGGCGGAAATACCGGTAATACAGGAAACACAGGCAACAATTTGGAAGACGATCAAGGTCGTAGCGAGATCACGAATACTGTGTATGGTCCTTTGCATCCACCTGATTGCGGATTCAGTAATGTATCGCTACGTAAGATCGTTGGTGGCGAGCCAGCTTCGTTAGGTACGAATGATTTTTATGCTAAAGAAACTCCTAAGATCAACGTTTTAATACATTTTTTTATTGCTTGTCATGCATCATCAACAATCACATTTTAAAATTATATGTTTCTAAGAAAAATTTACAATTTTAAAATACGTCTTCCTTGTTTTCTAAGCTCGGAGAAATTTTATAGAAGTGTTTTCTTTATCGATTTTCTCTTTGCGAAAATTGAAGATTTTTCTTTCTGTTACAAACGATTTTATTTCACATGTCAATAAGTGAAAATAAATAGCTAATCTCTTTTTAATTTTACATAGCCTTCGTTTCGGCAGAATCTTAAATTTCAATGCTTAATTGATACGATATTGATATGAATGCCGGTTACAAAATATTAAGCGTAACATAGATCAGTGTCATTGTCAGTGTTAACGCTAATAATAATAACTAATTGATTGAATTTTGCAGGTGCTTGGCCTTGGCTTACCGCTCTCGGATATAGAAGCCCGAGAGATCCGAATGTTCCGAGATGGCTTTGCGGCGGCGCTTTGATTTCCACTCGGCACGTGCTCACTGCTGCGCATTGCGTACATGGACGGGACGATTTGTTCAAAATACGTGTAGGTGACTTGGATCTCGACAACGATTTTGATGGAGCGTCTCCCTTCGAGGACTTTATCGAAAGGAAAGCAATACACCCCGACTACAATCCCACGAGCCATACGAACGATGTGGCTGTCTTGAAAACAACTCGAGAAGTACCTTATACACGTGAGTTTTCCTATTCTACTAATGTCTATTTTTATTTTTTTTCAATTACGTGATTGTTCCCAAGAAAGACCAAAAAACCGTGTAAAATTTATTACTAAAAAAATTTGATTGGTATGGAATGTGAGCTGAGGAGAAATGAGAAAACTTAATATTTGAGACCATAATCGATTTCTCAGGAAGTATTTGTTCTGTATCTATCAATTTATTTTCCCCGCGTTTTGTCTTTTTATTAGCGTAATTCGTGACTGATGATATATTTATCATTTCGCGCCAAAAAGAGTTACAAAGAGATATCAAAACTTTTCAAAGATATCAAAAATTTTTATTTTTTCTTTTTGCTTTTAAGTGAGAATTATTTGATTAAGAATAAATCTTTACATTTACAATTAGATTTATATATCTTTTCTATAAATATAGCTACATTAAAATAATAGATAGATATTTGATTTATAAAATCGATAAAATCTGCGCAAAACTAAATATTGTCATCACAATTTTCAAAATCAGATATTAGCTATTAGCAAAATTAGATATTATAACTTAGATAGTTTCTAGAATTTTTTAACTTCTTTTCTTATTACTAGATGATAAATTGATATCAACTTTATAAATTTTCAGCAACGATTCATCCCATTTGTCTTCCAGTAGATGATTTTAATAGATATAGAAATCTGGAAAATACATATCCTTTCGTTGCTGGATGGGGATCTGTTTATTTCCGTAAGTACTGATTGAAATGAATTACACACACAAGTATATTCTTTACTAATTATAATCTGTGATAAATTTCTCTAATTTCTAATTATAATCTGGTAAATAATGTGTATGTATACATGAAAAATTTAATAACTATGTAATAATTTTATATGTCAAGTAGTGCTAAAATGCTTTGTATTATAATTATACAGACCAACAAAAAAAATTTTTGTCAAGTAACTAATCAGAGTAGGTGTTTCTTATAGATTTTCGGCTACAAAAAACAATGCCGTTGTCCAAATTGCTCCAAATTAGAAATCGCTGATTTCTCACTTTAAAATTCAAAATAACTTTGAAATCTGACGTGATGCAGCAATTTGGAGAGCGGCATTGTTTTTTGTGACCAAAAATCTATAAGAAACATTTACTCTGATTAAAATTACTCGACAAAAATTTTTCTTTGTCGGCCTGTTATTTTTTATATTTTTATATTTTTATTATAATATAATTTATTTTATAATATTGTTTATTTTTTTAGGTGGACCCACAAGCAGTCGGCTTTTGCAGACACAAATTCCTATACGTACAGAAGAAGAATGCAGAACAGCTTTTCAGAATTTTAAAGGAAATGTAATAGATAGCCGCGTTCTATGTGCCGGCTATGCTCGAGGTGGAAAAGACGCCTGTCAGGTGAGAAATAATTGTAGAATTATTTTAAAAAATTAATAAAAACTTTTTAAATGTATTTGCCATATTTTACAAAAATGGTTTAATTAATAAAAAATTAATGAATTAAGTTATGTGCATATATCATACGCTTTAATCAATTGAGCAGGTATTCTCCCAAAAGTTAATTGTTTTTAATCTGAGCTATCCATACTTTGATTCTAAATCAATTTTCGTTTTTTTTTTAAATAATTCTTAGTATTTTTATATTTTTATTATAATATAATTTATTTTATAATATTGTTTATTTTTTTAGGTGGACCCACAAGCAGTCGGCTTTTGCAGACACAAATTCCTATACGTACAGAAGAAGAATGCAGAACAGCTTTTCAGAATTTTAAAGGAAATGTAATAGATAGCCGCGTTCTATGTGCCGGCTATGCTCGAGGTGGAAAAGACGCCTGTCAGGTGAGAAATAATTGTAGAATTATTTTAAAAAATTAATAAAAACTTTTTAAATGTATTTGCCATATTTTACAAAAATGGTTTAATTAATAAAAAATTAATGAATTAAGTTATGTGCATATATCATACGCTTTAATCAATTGAGCAGGTATTCTCCCAAAAGTTAATTGTTTTTAATCTGAGCTATCCATACTTTGATTCTAAATCAATTTTCGTTTTTTTTTTAAATAATTCTTAGTATCATTATTGATACAGTTTTATTACTATATTTATCAAGTTTATTAGCTATCCAATTAATATTTTGCTGTAAGCACAATTCTATTAACTTCTGAAAATTTTTGTATCTTTTTTATTATTTATATATGTAATAGCTTGTGTGTGTTAATACAATGTATAATGAGAAATGAATTATAATACAGCAATCTAAAAAAAAAAACTGAAATTTAAAAGATAAAAAGTCTTTACTAATTTGCTAAATAAATGTTTTTTTATTAATTATTTATCTTTTAATAACGATATGAAATGGTTTTTCAGGGTGACAGTGGTGGGCCAATGATGTCTCCTAGTCCTCGAGATCACAAATTTTATTATATTGTTGGAGTAGTATCATATGGTTTTAAATGCGCAGAACCAGGTTTTCCAGGAGTATATACAAAGGTTACAGCCTTCCTCGATTTCATCACGAGGCAATTAGTGTAAATAACTCTTTTAAAGGAAAATAGAAACTTTCCGTCCATTTTTTTCTTAAATCCTAAAAACTGAATGTTATATATATTTGAATGAGATGTATATTGTAATTATCTCTCATATAAATAAATTATATGATTTTTATCATTAAATATTATAAACAAAATATTAATATTATTAAATAAATTATTAAAAATAACACTTATCATAAAAAACTTAATTATTTATTATAATTATAATAAAAATTAGTTATATAGTGTAAAGTTTTGTTTTGTTTCATGAAGGAATCTTTTATTTTATTTCTATTATGTAACATTTCATAATTATTCTAAGTATAATATTACAATTAGAAGTTTTGTTTATTGTGCTTTGTTTAAATAAAATAAAATAATTGTGTGTGTGTGTGTGTGTCTAATTTATCTATCTATTAATGTGTCTAATAATATCTAATTTAATTAAAAATTACGAAAATATAATTTTATTATTCATATTTTTTTTTCTTTTTTGTTATCTTTCTCTAGTATTTATTAATTCTATTAGCATTATATATGCTTTATGCTTACTTTAAATGGTTATATATTTTTAATGGTTATATCCCAGACAGCACAAGAAGGCCAAGAGACATCTTAAAGATATCTAAAGGACACGATAAGACATCTTTAAATTGTCTTTTAGGCATCTTTTAGGGACATGTGCAGTCTGGGATATAACGGGTATATATATATATATAT